GGCGGGTTGGGGGAAACAGGGGCTTGAGGTGGAGGAATTTGGGAGAGAATTGGGGTGGTGAGAATGGCCGGCGGTGGAAGCTATGGAAGTAGACGGGTGGGAAGGGAATTCGATGCAAGAAGAAAAATAAAAGAAAAAGAAAGATAAGAGAACTGCGAACCTTGGAATCCACCAAGATTGACGGGTATTGCTTTTGCCCCACTTGGGCCTCTCCTCTCACGAACTCACTAAGAAATCATCCAAAGAGAGAAAACCTAGAACTCACAAAGAGATCCATAAGCACATGCTGAAAATTTCATATTAATCATCATCCCAATACAAAGCCTAAGGCCTCTATATATAGGCCTCTACAAATAAGAAAACTCAAAAGATTAATATGCCCTCTTGGCCACAACTCACTAAACTCCCCTCAGAAGGGTACAATGGGAAAACATAAATATCAAATAAACTAGTACATAAAACACATAAAAAAATAATAATAAATAAACTCTAGATCGTAGCCGTAGATCTTCCGATGTCCTCATCATGGGATCATTGGGTTGAGGGATTGTTGGCGGTTTCGAGTGAATGGAGGCTGCAGGTTAGCTGAGTTAGGGAGATTGGTAGATGTCTGCAGTGACATAGAGCGGCAAGGGGCACATGCGTATGTCATATTGCTTTAGGATGTAAGCTTTTGAAATGATTAGATGTATGTAGTGGCATAGAGCGACAAAAATACTAAAATAGGATTCTTTCTGAAAGTCTTGATTTATACTTTTTTTTTTCCTTTCTTCTCTCCCTTATTTCTTCTTTTTATCTGCCTCCAGCTGCCGGTTATGAAGAACTGGGATAAGGATGGTTAAGGAAATAGGGATAATCTTAGCTCAGGATTCGTCTGAAATGGAAAAAGAGCTTGTTGCTAAAGTAGATTGATTCGCCATAGTAAGCATTAAATAACATTTTTGGACAGTTTTATTTAATTGAAAAATTAATTAATAAATATTAATATACTTCTTTTTTATATATATTTCTATGTATTAAAATGATTGGTATAAACTTTAGAATTTTATAAAATAGTTTCGATAATTTTTGGAACAGGCGAAAAGTGGGGTATAATTTTAGGTGAAATTTTCATCCTATCTTTTGAAAAATTTGAGTTTTTCAGATACTGTCTAAATTTTAATTTTAGCATTTATTTCTAAGTTTGTATTTAATCTTTTTCCTGGGGCGGTTTTTTTTTTTTTTGGGATTTCAGGATCTTCTCTTTCTGGCTTGCAGTAATCCAGAAAATAGAAATTGTCTGACTTCCATGGAAGAATGGCCAGAGTGGATTTTAGATGTTCAAATATCTATCTATGAGGTAATGATATATATGTTCCTTCATAGTCACCTATAAAAATATTGCACAACATGAAGAATTTACCTGATATTACATGTTATTTAAGATTTCTTAAAATAAGATTTACATTTAATTTTCATGACTACTTGTGCCATCATTTGTTCTTTCAGGTAGGATCACTAAAAGATTCAGATGATGCATGCATCAGTGAGATTGAAGATCTCATCCACAACTTCCTTATCATCATGCTAGAGCACTCGTTGCGAAGAAAAAATGGATGGATGGTAAAGTTTCTATCTACTATTAGTTCAGTATGTTTTAGGGTTTTTTCACAACAACTCACCATTCATATTAACATTCACATGTTTTATCCCAGTTTGCCTTAAATAAATTTTATTTCCTCATTATTCTTTTGTCATTAATATAAAAATGTACTGCAAAGATCTAGTTTTTGTTATATGTTTCGCCCATGTGAAAATGGATAATTCTGGAATCTGTTCCATGTTTGATAATTTTTAAATTTTGTGAGTTTGAAACTGCACTCATATACGGCTTAAGAACTTCAAAAGAAAAGTTTTACAATTTTATGATATTTTCTTTGGTCTATTAGGTTTTGATCATAATATTTATTTGATCAATTACACTTGTCATACTTCACTTTAAAATACATGGGTGTACAATGCATGTATAAGAAAAAGCCTGCGCAAACTACATGGCTTTCATTTAACAATGTAACATCTTGTAAAAAATGGATTTTTTTTCCAATGCATTAGGAAATATGTCATTCCAGTCAATACTATATAGAATTGCTAATGAGCAACAACTAAACTCTTTCTCGTGCAAGCGTATATGAAAAAGGCTAAAATGCTTGCTTTATGAATTAGAAATTTAATATGTTGCCTCTACTATGAGTTGCTTTCTAAATTCAAACACGTTGAACTCGCCTACGCAAATACATCACCTATATTGATCCAAATTTCATAATTTGATAATTTGTACAATTTTAATCCGCACCAAATCGAAATATAAAAATTATTCCTTAGATAACAAATCTCCCAATTTCCTCTTCTCATACATAGTTTGAAATCCTCAAAATTCCTCTTTTTATATATTACAAAATTCTTAATTAAAAATTGAATATATTTAAGTTTTAACTTTTTATACAAAGCAATTATTTATACCAAACAGTTATCTATATATAAACTGCAAATTTTTTTGTGAAAGTTGGTATTTTGGTATATATTTGAATTATAGAAATTTGGCATGTAACTTAGAAAATTTTTGGCATTACAGAGCACTCAAAACTAAACTATCATATTATCGGATATCCTATCGATAAGGCGTAATTTCCATCTTAAACTAGTCCTTGATAGCGGTAAACAATGTTTAAATAATGAAATTTATCAACTTTCTTTTGTTGGATGATATAGAAATTCATATTCTTGATAGCAGTTGTTCTCCTTGTCAATGCCATGCTTTATGTACTTGCTTGATCGGCCATAAAGAGAGAGCTATAAAATTTGTGATATGTTGCCTAATTCATATTATGGCTTCATTTTTTAGATATGAACGCTACTCTTAGTCATTATTTAATTTACTTCCGCAAACTTCTATATGTAATTGAAATATGACTATTCTTTTTTCTTGGCAGGATGTAGAAGCTGTGATTCACTGTGCAGAATGGCTGGCGATGGTTGGTGGATCAAGTGCTGGGGACCAAAGAATCAGGCACTAATCTTTAACTAAATTTACAGGATTAGAAATAATGTTGGTTTTTTTGTTATTATATATCTCTAGCTTCATATCTGTCTTATTCTTTTAAAAGAATAATGTTTTTACAAGCCATTTGTTAGTAGTGTGTTTTCTCTTTGAACTGCTTCTCTAGTCTTATTTGATGTTTGTGCTTTCTTAAATTAATCTTCTGGTGGAAATAATGATTTTTTCAGGGTTGAATGGTGTTATGGATGTGTAGCATGCATAAATACAGCTTTATTCTTGGTAGAATTTTGTTCAGTCTTTTTCTGTCTTTTTCCTTAGGCAGTAGCGTGGTGCACCCCATTTTTTATCTCTCTTGATCAAACAAGAGATGTGGAAAAGGAGAACCACCCAATTAGATGCAGTTTCACTAATACTCATTTTGACTCTTACTAATCAGATTCATGTTAGAGAATTTGTCTGTCTATATTGCCACAAAATACAAAATACTTTTCATGGTCGTCCAATTGATCTAACACAATCATTCATGCTGAATTATACATAATTAAATTCATTAAAATAACTATCAACTAGTAGATAATTAATACATATTAGGTGTCATTAACATATATTATCAATATTTTTCTTCTCTTATACACTCAAAATTGTACGTTAAAACACTTAGATGGAAAATAAACCTTATCACATTACTATGGCTCAATTGTTATTTTACCTCAGAAGTAGCAACAACTAATCTAAAATTCGAAGGTATAAACAATTCTAATATTGTTACAACCTGACCTAAGAGCTTGAAATACTTATGTGGGAATAGGTGGTCAGTTATATTTGTACATTATAATTCAAATATTAGAAGATAATATGCATGCAAATCATTATGTGTAATTCATAACCTATTTTAAGTGTTGCTGAGATGAGGATGCTAATGTGGATGAGTGAATTTATTCTTAGAGACAGGATACGAAACATGCAAATTCGTGAAAAGGTTGTAGTAGTTTCAGTGACCGAGAAGATTAGAGAGAGTGGCCTTAGATGGTTTGGTCATATTAAAAAGACAGCATTCCGATGACCCTATTAGGAGAGTAGATGTATTAAATTTGGCCTATGTTAAAAAAGGTAAAGGTAGACCTAAAAGGACTTGGTTAGAAAATATTAGAAATGACCTTTCTTTATTAGATTTAAATGAGAATTTGACTCTTAGTAGGACACAATGGAGAAAAAAGATTCATATATCTGACCCCACGTAGTGGGATAAAGGTTGTCCACGTAGTGGGATAAAGGTTTGTTGTTGTTGTAAGAATGATTGAAAATACATTTGTAGGTTGCTCAATGATAGAACAAACAAATAATCTCTTAAGAGCTGTTTTTATCATGAGAAAAATGGATGCCTTATCTTATTGTGTAAAACACTTGTTGGAGGAGTACCCTCTATCTTTGTATCATTAAAGGCTCATTCATCTCAATGATCTCTTCCGAGCTTATCCTAACATTGAAATGATGGCATGTAGTAATTTTAAGCGTGAATACAATCTTTTTGAGCCAGTATTATAATGGCTTGAACTCTATCTTTTAATATACTCATATTAAAATCATCATATCAAACATGCATTATTTCTAATACTTTTTTTATTTACATTTTAGGAGATAATATGAGTTCTATCTAACAATATGAAGATTTTTATAAAAGTGAATATTCATTTAATCACTTTTCAAAGACTACTTGTGGTAATAATATCATCGAATGCATATAAAGGGACACTCCAAGAGAAATGAATTTAATTAATATAAGGTAAAAATATAATTAGTAGCTGGCCATGTATTCTTTTTATGTTGCTTTTTTTAATGGGATACCTATACGAACAAATATTGTACAAGTTACACATAAGTTTTAATTAATTGTAAAGTATTTTTTAAAAGTCTCAAACTCTCTCTGACATAATTCTTTTTTTATTATAATTTAATTATGTTTTGTTTTATATATATCTATAAAATTTATTACTTTTTGTAGGTTCATAATATAATCTACTAAATACATTTATAATCATATCCATTCAGGTAAGCTGTTCATTTTACTCCTTTTATTTAACTATATATTTAAAATATATGAACTTTTAATAAATTTAATCCTAATATTTCCTTGCTAGTTCCAATTAATTAGTTCAATATAATTAAAAAAAAAAATCTTATATTCTAAAAAGACAGCATTCATCCATAATTAATCTTTATTTAAATTATCATATTTCATCAAATAAAATTTTCTAAGTTTTCTTAAAACGTTAGACTCCTTTGCTTGTCTTAGTCTTCCTCATAGGAACCCTTACCAAAATTTCCTTAAAAATTAAAAACTGAAGCTAGGATTTCCTAATTTGAAGGAATAGCAAAGGAAATCTCAATTAAATTTCATCAAGAAAGAAAAACTACAATCTTGCTTAAGCACAACTCAATTTTGTGTGGCTTAGTCTGAGCCCACATTAAAACCTTGCTCGCTTTCCCTTTCTTGTGGTCAGGATCATTCGATTTCTCTCCCTCATTCTTGCTTGGTTTCTTCATCCACTCTCTCTTTCTCGCCCTCATTCTCTCCCACTCGCTCTTTGTTTCACTCAAGTGCTTGCTCAATCTTCGTCATTAATAACTGATTTTAATTACTTAATTAGTGCTGCAGTTTGCAAACTCTATAACACTTATTATATAGGCGTTTTGTTAATTTAATATCCCCCCTTTTTATATATTTCTTATATATATATATTAAAAATTAGTAAAATTCATTTATTTAGCCTTTTTTATCACTTAATAAAATTTTGAGGCACAACTAAACAAACATAAATAAATATTTATTAATAATTTTAACATATTATTATCATTTTAATTTTTACAAGTACTGAGTTTACAAGACAAGGAAAATAAAATAACATGCTCGTTAGTTGTTTAAAAAGGCATGAATATTAATAATCATAGACAATTCTAGTTTAGTGCAATAACATTAATCATTGCATGATATAATAATTGAACAGTTATAAGTAATAAGTATGTATGTTTGCAAGGAAGGAAACATCACTTACATATCAAATTTCAGTTTTACTCTCATATTTCTTTTCTCCTTTTATTTGTCCATAGTCTTATAAGTGTCATATAATGATGTCTAGGTTTTGCCACATAATTTATAAATTTTAAGTTTGTTATCTATAAACTGTTGGTCTATAATGACTATTTATGAGGGTTAGACTTAAATAAATATAGCAATTATAGAATGACCCGCCAATAACACTTGGATTGCTGCAGTGTACAATTATCAGTAGTCAACAACGGCTTTTGGCCTCTATATGGCTTATCTTGTTAATACTTTTGCCCCTTACATAGGTTCTCTTAATTTTGCAACCTATTCCATATGACATGATCTCATAAGCTTCTTATTAGCATCATTATCATAGGCTTTCATTATATACTTGGCATTGTTATGAGCATGCGATCATTAATTTGTATCAACTTGTTTATATTGCATAAGCAACGCTATATGTGAAGTAACATTTGATTACTTGAATTTGCACGATAGATTATAAAATTTGTATGATTGGAAGATAACGTGTAATGCATTAGACTTATTGATAACATCTTATTAATATGCTTATGAAGAAATTTCGAGGGAATTAGCAAGCATTTCACTTAAGAATAGTTTCCTCCCTATGCTAGAATTTGAGCATCTAACCACCAAAACCAAATATACATCATAACAAATTTCCCAAGAAAATTTTAATATCCTTATGTACCAACTCAAATATTAATCAAAATAACCTCAAAATAACATTTATCTCAAAATAATTACTCATACAAGCCATTGAGCTCAATAACCTCTAGCCAAGATCGTTTCTCCATAAAACAACATAAAGTCTATGTTTCTTCTCACTATTCTAGCTCTCTTCTTCCTTCAGCTCCTGTTTGCGGTCTGCTCTATGTTGCTTAGCTCCTAAAGGCTAAAAGAAAGAGATGAATTCTTAGGCTATTAGTTGTTAGTATATATAATTAATTATATATATAAACTTTATATCCTTATGGAAAAAACATCACAGACATTCTCAATACCATTAAAAGATGTACTGTGTTTTGGAGATAGGGATTTCAGCTACAGTAATTAAACTCTTATACAGGAATATCATTCAATGAATTGTATTATTAAATAGTTTAGGACAGTTGATTTAAGTAATAAATTAATTTATGAAGGCTAATATATATATATATATATATATATATATAAACACAAACATGTCCATATAAACACATGCATGCATTTATATATCAAAATGATCATAAATAAAAGAAGAATTTATAAATACATTTTATCATTTTCAGAAGATGCGAAAATTGGGATTAAAATTTAAGTAAAATTTGATCATTTTTTTAAACGTATTTGAGTATTACATATCCTTTGATTGTTCCCTTAGCATATTTTTCCCTGTCTGAACAATAAGTCTTTCTTTATGATTCAGATCATGATTTATCTTGCTGATGCGCTTCTAAATTATTTTAGCCAAGCAATTATTTAGTTTACTTTTTTATCAACTTACTTTTTGTTTGCTTGATGTCCTAATTGAAGGCGTGAAGAATCACTGCCTATTTTCAAGAGAAGACTGTTAGGTGGCTTGTTAGATTTTTCTGTGCGGGAGCTCCAGGTTCAGGTAATTTTACATGCTTGTGAACCACCCCTAAACTTGCCATTTGTTGATCATTCCTTAATCTTTTGGGTTTTATTTTCAATATGTGCACCAATAGTATTAAAATAGTTCGGCACAAAGCTATATAGATGGCATTTGGCTTTCATTATGCTTGCTTTTCTCCAAAACAGTGAACTTTATGTGATAAAATCTTTGTTTCATGAGGTGTAAATCAGTGTTGTCCTATACCTTTTATTATCATTTTCTAAAATCAATGAGGTCATGCGTTGAACTAATCAAAGGGCTTGACATGTGGTATAGATTCTAGTTTTCCAATACGAAATCATGAAGTTGATGCAACAAATGAAGTTTAATATGTCAACATTAACATGAAAACTTATATTCAACATTTATTATAGAGAAAAATCATCATTATTAGACGAGCTTTGAAAATTTAGAAATCAGGACTGTTTTTGCGGTTTCCTCTTGTAAATTTACATAAATTAGCAGGAATTTTTATTCACTGTAATGCCTTTTGTCTACATGCAGCCCGGTATGAAGATATTCCGTATGTTCAGTTTTTCATCTGCTCTAAGCATATTTCCTCACGACTCTACTTTTATTTGTTTAAACTCGCAAGTTCATTTGCTTTATAGTTACTGAAAGTAATTTAATTCAGGAGATGTCCTACCTAATGTATGATGGAGACATTGAACTAAGTGAGTGGCCAAAATAAATCTTATGTTGGTGATGCAAGCAAAAATTAGGAAAAGCCCCTAATTTTTGCAAGCATAAAGATACACACTTCCTGGGATATAGAAAATACACGAAATATTCAAAAATAGACAAAATACATACTAAAATTAAACTTTCATAATATAAAAGACTCTTGCAAACGACGCTTACAAACTTTTAAATAAAACCTCCTAAAGTTGCATCCCTTAATCAAGAAGAAAGGTACAAATGGCGTCGAACTTGCGGAGAGAAGAAAGTGGTTAGAAGCCGAGACGAAGAGAGGACAAGCTCGCAAGCTTTCCTAGAGGGAGAGGAAGAACGGAACAAGCTCGCAAGCTTTTCCAAGAATGAAGAAAAACCCTCAGGTTTTTAGATCCAAAAATCTCTCCATAACATATTCCTTTTTTTTGCTTACAAAACATCTTATATTTATAGGAGAAAAGAGGGCAGCCAAATAGCCCAAAACATCTTCAATTAATTCAATTAAAAAAGGAGAAATAGAAGGCCAAGGGGCTGTCCAGGAACATCACCCAAACAGCCACCTAAAAACCCGAAAAAAAGGCAGCCAAGGGAACCCGGAACAGCAGCCAAAGGGGGAGGAACCAGGGGAACCGGAGCAGGCAGCCCAAGTAATTGGAACAAGCAGCCAGACAGGGAACCGGAACAAGCACCACAAGAGGAACCGGAATAGGAAACCAAGCAGGGAAAATCGAAGAGACACAGAGAAGGGGAGAAGGACTAGCCACTGGAATGAGCCAAGGAGGAGAAGCCAAGGAGCCACAGAGAAGGGGGAATGAACCAAATAAAGGGGGAATACTTTTGGACAGAAATTTTGAGCTAAAAAGGAGATAAACTACACATAATAATGAGTTGGAAACAAGAAGTTCACCATTAATGAGCTGATTTTAGAAGCTCACCAAAAATTAAACCAAAATATTTTGACCCCCCTTTGCCTACATCAGTTGGTGAGACTTGCTTTCCATAAAATGGGATGAATTAGAAGACCATCTTTCATATGTATAGCTTTTGATTTTTCCTCACGGAACTTCCTTATTATCAGTTTTTAGCAACGATCATCATGTTCCTTGTGTATTTGTGGTTTTGACTATGCTTTATTTTGTTGTTTTTCTGAATGTTTTCTAGATTAGATGAGAAGAAGGGTTTTGCCTTTTTTGTATTTATGTCATCCATTATCATGTCGAGATCCTTGCTATCCTTAACATTAAATTAATTGTGTATTTGTGCCTATTTGTGTACTTGAACTTGCATGAAGTAAAACCCAAAAATGCTAACTTTATCTTTCAATTTTCTCTTAATGACCACATAATACAAGAGCATGAAATAATTCTTTAAAGTATTTGATACATTGCAATATATAGAATGATCTAGGAATGTGACGCAACAAGAAAATATTGCAAAGACACAAATCTTTCTTTCTTACAACATATATAAATATAAACACTAAGATTGCAAATCAAGAGACACAACTTCAACTACAAATGACAAACATAAACTATAAAACATATATATATTTTAGAGAAGAAGGATACATGTGGAGTGGAAACCCTGGATAGAGAAGAAGGGATTAGACGACCGAGATGAATTTTAAGAGGAGAAGGGGAAAGAAGACCATAGCTCGCAAGCTATGTAAACCCACAGGTTTTTACATTCCACAAATTTTTATTTCTAAAACCCTCCTAAAACAACCACAAAACAGCCCTTATATTGGGGAAGAAAAGCTAAAAAAAAAACAATTTATACATGTATTTAATGCACGTTAAAATCAGAGCTTAGGTTTTTGTTGGGTCTTCCTTTCTTTAAGTCTTTATAAAAATGGAAAATCATGATGTAATTGAATCTGAAGTTGGAGAAAGTAAACCAATTTATCTTGAAGAAACTATTCCTAAGAGGCGATGGATCTCACCGCAAGGAAGTTCTACCAATCCCATCCATAATGAGTTGTACAAAATTCAACATAAAATGAATTTGGTTACAGAAAAATACGAGAAGGGAAAGAAACTTCTTCAAACCTAGTTCAAGCAAGAGAGAAAATATTAAGAGAAATATGCGGCCTTATTTCAAGAGTTGGATGTGGCGCCTTCGACACGTCATGGAAGTTCTAAAGTCATCTCATCAGGGGATGAGAACTCTCAACCAGGGGAGATTTGATGCAAGCAAGGCTGTCCCGATTGCTGACTGTTCGGTTCCTGCCCGCTTGGCTGTTTGGTTCCTCTTTATGCCCTGATTCATCCCCTGGTGCTGTTCGTTCCTTGGCTGTTTCCCGCGTGCCTCTTCGTGTGCTGTTCCAGTCAGTTGTCTTTTGGTCTTTTGCCTCCCCCTTTCATATTGGTTTGAGTGGGCGGCTGTTTAGTTCTCTTTCTTCACCTATATATTAGGGTTGTTTTGGGCAGTTTTTAGTAAGAGTTATGTGATTATTTTTGGAAAGAAAACTTGAGGGTTCTTCTTTGATAGTTTGCGAGCTATGTTCCCCTTTCTCTTCTCCTCTCTTTAACTTCGTCTCGGGCTTCTTATCTATTTCTTCTCTCCGCAAGTTTCCACCCCATTGTATATTTCTTCTCTTTAAAAACTTATATGGTAGTTGTGTTGTTTGTTAAAAATGAAAGTTAAACATGAAGTGAACTAAAATTTTGTTGCTTTAAAAAAATGTGGCGTGGTACTATTTTAAATTTTTTATCTCTTTTTAAATCCAAATATGTTCGTTTGTGCTTTAGCCTTCAATGTATGTCGTAAATGCTCGAAGTCAACGCATGAGAATGCTGTGTAAATTGATAATAAGCTGAAATTAAACTCACCCCACTGAGACTTGTGCACTCCGTTGTTTTTTTAAAGATGAACAATCATTTTCAAAATTTGCAAACTCTTTCCCATGTACAAAAAGTTAAAATATTTTACATGACATTTCTTGATTGAATCTCCTTGCCTATAAGACAAGATCATAAGTTTCTCATTTCATGTATGATCATCCGCTGCACAAGAACTTGAGTCGACAAGGGATGAACCCTATAACGAACACCTACAAAACAAGTTCAAAGTGACATGATATTTTATTTAAGAAACACACTAGGCCTTCAATATCTTTAGTAAAAAAATATCGCATAATCACTCCTTTGATGTGGTGACTCATAAGGTTAATCTATGAATCCAATCTTCTTCAAACATGCTAACAAAGTTCGCATGGTTCAAATGATAACATGAAATCATTTAAAAACTTCGTTGATGGCCGTGTTGACATAATTCCTCTATCGAAGGAGAAATTATTCTGTGCGGAGGCCGGACGCAGCTCTATGTCTAGAGGTGAATCAGGTGGAGCCACGTCAGCGGTACCGAGCCGCGATACTGAGCGGTACCGAGCGAAGGGGTGACGTGACACATTCTAGTTGGTCTCCGGATGACGTTCGGTGTCCGCACATAATAATTAATCCTATTGAAGGGTATTCTATTTTTCAAAATGCGCTCGAATGACTGTCTGATTGATTTTGGTTCGATATTTTAGCCAAAAAAAAAGTATGAGAAGTAAAAAAATTCAATTTAATGAAGCTAAATCTACTAGAAAAAGATAGAGAAAAATTCATCTACCTTCCACTATAGTTTATTGAGGGTGCTCAATTTGATAAAATCTTATCTTATAAATGACCAATATCTTGTCCAACATATTTGTACGATTTATTCTTAAGAGATCTCTTGCCCATCTCTTGCCATTAAGGGCATAACATGTCCTTTTATTGGTGATTTTACTATGAAATGACACTACTATAGTTAAACAAATATGACGACGATCCTTTGATCTAGTGGTTTCGAATTGTTCCATCAAATTACGGTTATGACTAAAACCTATGATTTCGCCGATGATAGTAACTTCTAAATAATAAATCATATGATGCATTTGATAGGGCACAAAGCTAAGATGCTAGAATCACTAAGACGCTCCCCAAAATATCTATTTTCACTGCTCACATTTTGGCTTTTCATAATGTATCTATTTTTGCTTATTTTCAAACTTCAATTTCTTATTTATGAAACTATCTCCTCTATCAAAATTTTTTTCTTACCTGAGTATTGCTCCCTATTCTATTTTGCATAATTTATCTCATTTTTTTAACTCTTATGATTCTTTTCACTAAAACTTAAAATTCATTGATTTAAAAAGAGCTAAAGCTAATCTCATATGCTTCTAAAAATTTATGGCAACTTTTAGTCCAAGTGCTAATAGAGTGAGTAGCATATCTTAATAAAGTGGTGATCCCTACCTCATAGTGTATAATTATTATTTTTATCCCTGAGTCAGGTTAAAAATTTTCTTCTGCAGTGCTAGTCTAGGTGATGGTGGAATAAATCAGTGTGTGAACAACTTTACAAACTTATCTCAAATTTCTCATGAAGCTACGACTATCACCATCTCTCAACTTTTCCCTGTAACAAAGGTTATAATTATGACTCTTCTATTATAATAGTAAATCATATCATCTAAATTTTTTCCTATTTTCAACAACCAATCTTTAGCAATTGTTCGATCACTTGCTCTCTTGAATGCTAATGGCTTCAAAGTCTGAAATATATCAAGTGCTGATCTACCTTACTACCAAACTCAAATCTTAGTTCACTGCTTGAAAATGATTTATCAATAGATGCTATTTTGTCAAGACTCTGTGAAATTTGATTCACAATATCATGCAGCTCTTTGGGTCTAGTCTCCCCATTTGTTTTATTCTAAACAGTAATTCTATTTGAATTTTTTTTCAACTTGTATTTTTGTTTCAATGGTTGGTTGGGATGATTGACAATTTTTTTTGACATTTCTTCATTTATATTTATCTGAGAATGCATAACTTTGCTTGTTTAATGCAAATTATTATATAATAATCATGTTACTTACAAGTCACTTCTAAACTTGACTAAATCATCTACTTAATCAGATCAACCTATAACTCTGTACTAATCACATCTAAAAGTAATCTCTTTTCTATATTCATTTCTAAATCCAGTATCTCTTACATTATAAATTACAATTTGAACTCTTCTCTGATATCAATTTATGCCACTCACCATGTTGACTCCCTCTAGTTAATCATGAGGTGTAATAGAAGTGAATAATCTAATCAAACAAATTTCTAGCCAATGCCCATCTGGACTTTACTAATTAGGATCGAATGATTGAAAATTATTCTTGCTCAAATGCCATAAAAATCTACATTACACTTGATAAACAACTACTAGCTCCAGCAAAAACATTGACATGGATGCATAAATAAAATTAATAAATTGATGGGAAAACATTGTATATTTCAAGTCATAGCACATTTTTTGTGTGAAAATAAAGATATACATGCCTTTTTCTTGTAAAAGTAATGCCTTTTGATAAATTTGTTTCTTCCATTTTCTGTTTTAAATTATTCAACAGACCGAATGGCTGTTTCTTCATTCATTTTTTTCTTTCATAACAGACTCAAGTTATTGCTGCAGCAGCTGCTGGTGTTGCTGCAGAGGGATTGCCACCAGAAAAGGCCAAAGAAGAAGCAGAGAAGGTTGCTCATCCTTCTGTTTTCTTGGCTGAGAATGCAATTGTGATTTTAATGATTGTGGAAGATCATTTACGTTCACAAGCACAGGCTTTCTGTTCTTCTACATCTGTTGTTACACACTCAAACTCTGCAGGAGCAACATCTGGAGCATCACTTGAAACTGCTGGGTCTAGAATTGCATTATCACGCAATAATAATGCAGGGCTTTCCCTGGATGTATGTATGCAGATATTCCCTCTCTTAATTTTAGTTATATTGGCCAATGTTCATTTCTTGTTTCATTGCTTACTGGATGAAATTGAGCAAACTCACAATTTGTTCTTACTCAAGATTTGATATAATCATTAGGCATCATTTGTAAATTTATGTTTAAACATTGCAGCTAAGAGTGCAAAAAATTGCCACAATATGTATGTACCAACATTGGCAATATGATTTAACTTAGAAATTTAATCATCTTAGTTTCAATAATTGTGGCCTTATGCGGTTGCAGGCACATTTTATTTATGCTGATTATACTTGCTATTCCTGATAACTGTTGTCAATTTCATTTTGTTTTCTGTCAGCTTCTTGCTTCCATGGCTGATGAAAATGGGCAAATTTCTGCTGCTGTTATGGAGCGCCTCACTGCAGCAGCAGCAGCGGAGCCTTATGATTCTGTCCGTTGTGCTTTTGTATCATATGGAAGTTGTTCTTTGGATCTAGAAGAGGGTTGGAAATATAGGAGTAGACTGTGGTACGGTGTTGGTCTTCCCTCCAAAACAGCAACTTTTGGTGGTGGGGGCAGTGGGTGGTCATCATGGAAATCAACTTTGGAAATGGATTCAAATGGAAAATGGATTGACCTTCCCCTAGTTCAGAAATCAGTTGCCATGCTTCAGGCTCTTTTATTAGATGAATCTGGGCTTGGTGGTATTATTGGAATTGGAGGTGGGTTAGGGACAGGAATGGGAGGAATGGCAGCACTTTACCAGTTGTTGGATAGCGATCAGCCCTTTCTTTGCATGTTGCGTATTGTCCTTGCTTCATTGAGAGAGAATCACTGTGGAAAGGATGACTTGGCTGGAGTTACAAATGGTGAATCTCATGGTACAATGGAAAGGAGAAACAAAAATTCCTTGCAATCAAGGAAACCTTGTTCAATGTTGCTATGGAGGTGATTATTTGAATGTCATTTAATGTTTTTAAATTTTTGAAAGATTTATATTTTTTAATGTTTGGGTGGTGTGATCTTACTGCTAATTATTTAACAATTGTTCAAATTCTTGATTCATCCTTTCAATTTATATTTTCTGTTGTTAAATGAGTTTTTTGAGTGTACCTGTTTAACACAGGTCATCTTTTCCCTAGGAATTCCAGTATGGTCTGAAAATTTTCAGTTTCACCATATAGTAGCAATTTTAGTTAGGACTGTTCATGAATCCCTCTATATTTGATTTTACATATTTTATTTCTATTCTCTAAGCTTTTTCATTTGATAAATTTATGACTTAAATTGAATTGTGTTGGAAATCAAATTTGAGCTAAAATGTGAGTTTGGTAATTAAATTGAAATGTCACGTAAATTATATTTCTTTTTGGATTTTATTTTGTGAATGCTACTGATAAATTTATTGATGTAGATTTAACTTTCAATTTGCTTTACTTTTTTGTGAACTTGGATGAGAGAGGGGGGAGAGAGAGAAAAGAACATTGAGGGCAAGGGAAATTCGAGAGAAGTAGCTTGGCTTTACAGAGTGCTGCTGATGTAAGCACACTAGATAGAAAAACCAAACAAGGAGAACAAAGGGCGAAACTAAACCAAACTTGATTCAAATAGTAGCAATCATCTATAACATCCAAAACCCGACGAAGAAAACTAGAAGAGAATTCAAAGAAACAAAGAAAATAAAAACAACGCTATCCTTAGATAACCGTCAGAGCGGGTTCCTCATATGCATCGAAATGTAGGTTAAGTAAAATAAGTGCTTAGGGCTAGCAAACCGATGGTCCACCACTGCAAGATAGTCCAACCGTCCAATCCAAACTCCTCCAGCAAATGTTTCCAAATCAGCCAACAAACACCACCAAAGCTCAAGAAGAAGGAGACAAATGGAGTGGAACTTGCGGAGAGACGAAAGAGGTGAGAAGCCGAGAAGAAGGGTGGAAAGAACTCGCAAGTCTTTCCTAGAGGAGAAGGAGAATGGAACAAGCTCGCAAGCTTTTCCAAGAAGAACCTGCAGGTTTATAGAAAATCTGCTTTCAATATTTAACTCCCCTTCCTTCACAAAACATCTCATATTTATAGGCAAGAGAGGAGAAACCTAATAGCGACAATGACCTTTCATATTCACATTATAAATGAGGGAATTAAAAAGCCAGCAGTCAACTCTAGTAAACAAAGCATCAAAACCATGGAAAAGCCCCCAAAAAGTCATGGGAAAACAGCCCAGGCGGAACCCAAAGAGGCAGCCGCAAGAACCCAGGAGGCCCGCACGGAACCGAAGCACCAAGGCACAGGAAAGGCCACCAAGCACGGAAAACCAGCAGCCAACCGGGGAAACCAAGGGGACAAAGGCTCGGAATTTTAAGAAGAAGAGGGGAGGAGAAGGGATAAGACCACTCCATAATGAATCCAACTTATGAGCTTACCTTATAGATTAATGAGCTAGCAACTTAGCAATTAAAGCTCAACTTCAATGAACCATCCTCTTCCATTCTTCATCATAAGCCCCAAAACCGTGGACCATAAGCCAATTCGAGAACCAGCAGCAGCCAAGGACCAATCAAGCCCTCAAACCAAAGGTCTACCAAAGCCCAAGCACAACCTACCATGATCATTGGATGCTTTCCCATCATTAGATAGCTAAAAAAAACAAAAAAAGAGCATAAAAACATACTAATGTTCAATATAAAATAAAAATACGTAATATTTGATAGCATCAGCTGCTATCATAATTTTCATTCAAAAATCATCATCGTATGGTAAGCACTAAAAGCCCTTGTTGTCATACATATTCAAGCGGATACAATTTCAAATATAACAATAACCTCAACAAATAAAAAATATTGCTAATGTCCTAATGACTGCTTAACCATGATAGGATAGACGAAAAATAATCAAGCCTTGACACATATATAAACTAAAAATCATTGCTAAGTTATTTATAGCGATGGCAATGAATTAATTTCTTTCAGCACAAAAAAAAATTTTTCCTAGAGAGTTAAAGTGGTTTTTGATGGATATTTAATGCTTAAAGGAATTAAAACTTTGACAAGTAGAGTTAACTCCATGTGATAGGGGTTAAGAAAAAAAAGAATGATGGTATCTTTAGTTGGTTGAGGAGGAAACAATGAAACAACAATTATGTAAGATGGATGTTGTTACTATTCCTCAGTCAAATGCTACATTGGTTGCCCTTGGACTCTGTTGGTTCTGTTCTACTCACTACACTTAGTGGCAACTAGAGTTACAAGAGGTCAAAACCTCTTTTCTATATTGTCATAAGTTGGATATACTTTTATCCCTTCTAGGATCCAGAAAATTTCCACTTAATCTTTTTTATAAAATGGAAAAGAAGTACCTTCATTGGTACTATATTGTCATAAGTTCTTGCCTTCTTTTTTTATTAGATTGAGAATTAGCAAGGAGTGTTCACATGTCAGACTTTGAATGAGATCTCCCAACATTGTAAGAGGAAATGAGATAAATGACCTTATTGGGAGCCCAAAATGCCACCGCTCCAATGTCACCTCCACTTGAGTTGTGCCTATTGTCACCACTCAGCTTAGGTGTTGAACCTTTTATTTTCTTTTATTCAATGCAAGTATTGAAACTTTGTTTGAACTTTGAGATTCATCTCTTTTCATTTGGCTTCTATCATAAAGACAGTGGTGTCATCTTACAATGGAAAATTGGCTAGAGTCTGCACGCCTCGTTATAAAGGGCTTTGCTTCTTCCCGTTAGATGAGATCTTTACAGGGAGGAGAGACCACCACTACATTATTGAGACAAATGGAAAAGTCAATGCCTCCAATGTGGAGTTAGCAGTTTCTTCAATTTTTAACACTGTCATTGCAACCTGCTAACTTTCTTACATAGCTGATATAAGACAGCAAAATTTTCGTTATATTGACTCTGATGAAGTGCCCTGTAATGTCGGTTTTACCATGGCCAACTGAACATGGAAGAAGTTCACTAGGTGGAACTCAATTTCTGCTTGTAACCCACTTCTTGCCCAATTGTTCAAGTGATTATTTGCACTGTCAACAACCTCATCGATTAGGTTATTAGAGAGATTTATATGGAAATGCCACAAGAAACTTTTTAACCTATTTCTATTTTTGGTCTCAATTCAAGGTATAGGAGATCATTAGGATCAATGATGGGAAGGCTCTTCGCATTACTTATTAGATGGCCCAATAATGGAATGAGGCTAGACATCACAAAATCGTGTAGATGTATAATGTTCAGTCTAGCGGGCTAAGACTATGGAGAGGCTTGCGTCTTCTCAATTACAAAATGCCTTAACTATTGAAGTGTTAAATTAATTAGTGGTTTCAAGGGTTATAAAAGTTTTTTTGAAGAAACTTGGCTCTACTCTTATGTCAACAAAATCAGATTGTTTTTATCATGACCCGGCCTAGAGGCTCGAATTAACGAGGCAGGAATAGACGGTCGGACGGTTAATTAAAATTTTCAATTAATCTAAAACTATCTCAATAACCTGAAAGAGCCACTAAACTTCAAAAATATAAACTAATATAAAAGGACTTAAATACCTTTTTTCTGGTGCGCCACACCAATGATATATATTTTCACATCTTCTATTCATTTTGATTATAATAAATTATACTTGAAAATGTTAGAACAACTAAGAGTAAGGTACAACTTAGTGAGTAAAACATGCTTCTAAATTATACTAATTCAAAGTAATTGAAACAATATGCATGAGTATTTCAATTCATATCATAAAATAATTTCATTTACATTCATTTTATTTCAAGATTTTCAATATTATGCATATACAATATTTTTATCTATATCTTTCTTCTTTCTCATAAATAATACAACCGTCACAGGTGTCATCGTCTAAATTAGTACCAATGAAGGTACTTCTTTTCCATTTTCATTTCCATTTTATTTTCCTTTTCCATAACCTTTTTCTTTAACGTGCAGGGGTACATTGCGTCCCTAGCCAATACTATAAGGGAGTGTGTTCCATCAGTTAACATACACATGCAAGTATTTTACATAAATCAAATCATTCACATATCAATCATTTACCTTCAATGAAAATGTAAATCATGACATTTATTTTCATTTGATTCAACATGATCAATCATTGGATATGAGAAAAACGGATCATAATCTAATTTGCAATAGCAGATATCACTATCTTTCAATGCATTTAAAGAAAGAACAAAATCATTGCTATAATTAAAAGACATGAGTACACACCTTGAACTTAGGAAATGTGATGCTTCACTTTTACTCCTTATTTCAATGATGGTAGATTTAAAGCCTATAAAAGATCACTTCATTAATTAATTATTTGCTCTTGATTTTTCTAACTTAATATTTTAAAACTTCTCACTTTAATTTAATTAAATATACTCTCTTTTAAAATTAATTTTTTAATTAAATGAGATCTCTCTCTCTCTCTCTAATTACTTAGCTAATTCACTAATTAGAATTTAAATTTTTAAGATATTCATTCTCTCTCTATGTATAGGAAACAATATTTTCTTTAGTATCGTACTTTAATATTTACTTTTATTAAATTTCTATTCTTTATCAGTAAATTCATATTTGTATAATTAATTATCTTAGTTAACATTTTCAATTAAAATTCATATCTCTTATTTGAATCTCATAATCTCTCTTATTTAAATATCGATTTATCTCGTTTTATTATTTTCTAATTTGAAATTTCTTCTCTCTTTAATTAATTACTTTAAATATATTATATGCCATAAATTCATTACACTTCTAAATCCAATTTTTCATTTAATATATATTCATAATTTAATTTAAAATCGCATATAATCTTATATTATTATCATTAATTAATTTCTAATATTAATCTTTCTTAAAATTTTTCTTATCATTATTTCTTTTATCAAAATAATACTAATAAAAGAATAGAAAATCTTACCTTTTCCGAGTAGACGAAACCTTCGCTCACACTCGCCTAATCCTTCTCTCTCGCCTTCGCTCTCAATCACTCGGTTGGCTCGATCGCAGGTGCCTCTTTCTCCCACTCTCTTCCTTCCTGATTCTTGATTTCCTTCCTTCTTCTTTTTCTTTCTCTTAGTTGTTGCATTCTCAAATTCTTTCGCTCATTTGTTGAACTGGATGAAGCGAAACAAAGATATCTTCCATGAGGAGTCACCATTTTTCACTCCAGACGCGATTAGTGACTTAGAACAATGAAAAATCTGTCAAATAGACGTATACATGCTCACGGTGACCATTCGGGTTGCGTTCCTCATCGTTTCATTTGCTCGGTTTGCCTGTTTTGCTTCTCTCAATTTAAAGCTACGATCGGTTCAACTAAAACAATCGGACCGGTTCTTACATTTTACTGCAAAATTTGGGCTACGTTTGCCATGCATCTTTATCAGACTTAAGGGTGATATTGGGGGTTGTTGCTTATAGGTTGTCACAGTTGGTCAACTACAGGGCTTAGAACACCTGTTAATGCTTGTGATCATAATGACCAAGAAGATTATGATCGTGAAGATTGAGATCACAATGAGTTGGATTAGATAGAATTGGGTCAAAATGATGTGATACGATGACATCCTACAGCTGCACTACAATGATTCTAAAGTAAGAGATTGAATAAATTGTAATTTTTCATAGTTCATTGTAATAATGAACTTTTATAATTATTTATCTCATGATTAAGTAATTCAAAATTTTATTTTCTTTGATGTATTACTCATTTTTATTTCAAAATCCTCGTAATATTGTGAGTGAAACTCTAGGAGTTTAAAGATATGTATATTTTGATCAATTCCCCTAGTTCCTTTGTTTATCCATAATCATCCAGCTCTTCTTATAATATGGTTGACTAAACTAATATAGCATTATCAACATACTTGGCTTCTTGAGGAAAGTAATCTAGCTAGACTAAGTGTATTAGCTCACATTTTATTTCCTTGTTTTATCTCCTTATTGATAGAAAATCAAGTGGAATCTTTAATCCTTGCTTGCAATTGAAGGTAGAATGACTTCTGTAATTTAATTGTTTAGAATTTAAAGGAAATGTAATATGAGTTTTGACTGGTATACCTAATGGTGGCCCATGGCGTTGGTGAAATCTATAGATGCTTTGATTTCATCCTAGGGCATGTTTCATTTAACATAACTTGTTTCACCATCTTACTACACTATTGCATCACCAAATTGCCCCTTATAAAAAGAGTGACTCTCCATTACTTCACCATCCCCATCTTTTAGATTTATAGGATATAAAAATTTAACCTGACTGTATTCATATTTGAGTGATTCTAGATTTAGTTTTTAGAAGGTAGATTGGATATCAGATAAGATATTACTATGTGCTTTCACCTTCTTAAGAGGACTTTATGATCAGATTAAAAAAAAAAAATTTAGGCGCAAGTCCTATGATTAACTATTCCTCTTGATTAAGAGAGAAAACTTTCAAATAAAACAAGTTTTTATTTTACGATGATTTAAATAGCAGCAGCAGTTTGAATTGAAAGAAAGAACATACCAGTATTGATTAAGAGCGAATGATTGGTGAAGTGACGACAAATGAAAAACCCAATCAAGCTCTCATGTTTGTCTTATGTTGAGTTGTCTAATCTATCTTGTCAATTGAGGTAGTCGTCTCAACCTGATTTAATAATCCTTATCAATAATCTTTTGTTACATCATCCAGCAAGGCCTCCTATGTATGTGGTGAAAGCTTGTCAGAGAGGCCAAATTTAAGGTAACATTGGCTAACAAAGGGTTAATACCTTATCAAGTGTTTATTATGGCTCACAGGTCATAGGCTTAGGCATTGGGAAATCTTTGTGCTTGAGTCGTAACCGCAATATAATGTTACCATTGCTGCTAGACTAACTATCTGCTCAAAGGAAACCCTTATTTGCCTTAGATTTTTTAGTGTGGTCATATATATATCCTTAGTATTTTTATTATTTTACTAACATCTTCATTTTTCTCACCATGCAATTCATGGAGGAAAAATGGTCCCTTTGAAGATAAAGGGAAAGCGGAGATCAGCTCACTTGGTCAGGCAACTCTTTCATTCCTGCATCCACAGCAAAACAGACGCACCAACCTACCTCCACATTTCCAAATAACTATATACAAAAACAGCCAAGAACCTTTTTTTATGTTTCTTATTTAACAGGATGGTATGTTGAAACATTCAATACAATTCATTATTCACTGTCTTGTGATTTCCATTTTTCTTTTTTAGAAGTGTCATTGATCAGTTCCTTACCGGCTAGCAAATTTTGTATCTGAGATGTCTCTTAAATGGCTAATACTTTATGTAGGATCCTGATATATTTTTAGACTAATAAACATTCTAACCCCTTTACTGGTGGAAAACTCTCCTTCTAAACCAGATGCAATATCCAAGCAGCTGAAACGATATCATTAATGACTTATTTATTTAATATTGTTATTTTTGACAATTTTAGACTAAGCGGTTTACAATTTGTACAGTGTTCTCGCACCTATTCTTAACATGCCGATTGCTGAATCCAAGCGTCAAAGAGTGTTGGTAGCATCTTGTATTCTATTTTCTGAGGTTAGTCAATTTGCTGAATTGTCTTTTCTTTTGTTCTCGTTTCTTAAGTTGTGGATGCAATCAGCAGGAAATTGAAGGACTGATTCTTGATCCTTGTATCAATAGCTAGAATCTATTTATGAGGCTTTCTAACAAATTTAAAAAAACATTAGTTTTCCAATCAATTGGATTTTTGTTAAACAAAGAAAAACTGTTGATATTGATCTAAACTATTGGTAATAATTAGAAGCTAAATTGCATGGCATTTCATCAGTGTTCCACCATTTATCAAGCACATAAAAGAAATGATTTTGATGCGGACATCGGTACAAAGATTTGGCGCATCTATCACAGGAGGCGTCGCAAATCGTCGGCCATGATTTAAACCTTCAATTATGATTTATTTTTCTACATTTTAGTTCTTCATTAATGTATTTTCCTGTTGTACCCCTAGGATAGTTTATATGAGTGTTATGGCCCAAGGGGCAATTTTGTAATTTTTATTTTATCATGTTATGGCCTATATATAGGGCCTTAAGCTATTGTAAAAGTGATGATGAATGGATATGAAAATTTTGTGTTCCACACTTGTGTTCTTGGGAGAGAACGAGAGTGAGATTCCTATGGGAAGGAATCGAAGTTGTCACCAGCCGCAGGATGGGTCCTGGCTCGTGATTTGAAGTCCCTTGGAGAAGGGCAACGGATCACCCGTCAGTCGTTGGAAGAGTCCAAGGCTCGCGGTTCTTGTCTTATATCTTTCGTTTTATCTTCGGTTTTTATTTTCTCTTTCGTTTTATCCTCTATCTTTGGTTTTTGTTTTCTTTATTCCGTCTTTGTATTTTCGTCTTCCCTCGCCACCTTCCATCATTCGTCCTCGTCACATCCAACTCCACCAAATTTCCCCCAACTTCCTCCATATACACCAAGCTCCACAATATTTCCCCATAGCCGCCGGCCACCTTCACCCGACCCCCTTGGCCGCCGGCCCCAATGCTCTAGCCACCGGTCAACCTCCCCCTCCTCCCCATCTCCACGTACCATCAAGACTTTCCTAAATTGGTTTGATATTTTAGGTAACTCTATTAATTATTCAAATTCAAATTTATTTGAATTTGAAATAGTTGCTTAACCTGAGAATTTCAAAATCTGAGATGTTTCTAACTCCACGTAACAGCTCTAGGAATTAAATTCCCCACTTCCTTCTCTATACATTAATTGCTCCCTCTTCATTCCCGTAACTCCCTCCTATCTTCCTGAATCTCCCTTCCAATCAACCTGCTTTGATTGGGGGCAATTAAGTGCAGTTATTTCCTTTGGACAGATTTCCAAAAGTTGCTGCTGCTGGCCGAAAGCTTCCCAGGCCATCACGTGGGAATTCCTCCACTAGAAGCTCCCGTGAATTCACTTCCATAATTCTTGTTCCTACTAACCCTTTCCTCCCAACATTGATAACTAAATTTTCTTCTCAGATTTCTGTTTGGAATCTGAAACAATTTTCAGATTCTACAAGAGGAGTTTGGTGTTTGTTCTCCCTCCTCTTTCAAGCAAGAAATCTGATTTCTCTCAGATTTTGGGAGAGGTGATCCTCTCCTTTGCAACGCCTCCTTCCCGTTCTACATCAGATTTTTTCACAAAGTAATGTTGTCAAAAACCTTAGTTGTAAGAACTAGTCTGGCTGCCGGCCAGTTAATTAAACTGGCAAAGCAGCACGAAGCAGGCGAAGTGGACGGGTTGTAATTATAATAGTAGTTAGTTTTTTAAGTAAGTAATTAGTGAGAGAAGTGAAATTTATGTTGTATAAAAATATTATAATAATAAAACAATACTTAATCATTAGAATTATGAGAGTAATTTTAATATTAAAATTTGAGAATATTATGAGTTGAAGATAAATTATAAAATATAATGTAATTGTAGGTATCAATCTGTCGGTAGCGGAGTGATCATTAAGTTAGAGAAAATTTTGAGCAATTAATTAATTAAATTTAATGAAGTAATCTTTAAATGGCTTTATATCTACCGTATTTGGAAAGGAGTAAAAGTGAAGTAATGCATTTCCTAATTTCAAGGTGAGTACTCATGTCTTTTAATTTATTGTAATAATAATTATTTCTCTTATATATGATGCATCAAGTAGTGATATTATTTAATTTGCTCATTGTTAATGTTTTATGATTTTTCTTACTTAAAGTCAATTGATCATGTTGAATTAGAAGACTTAATTTTCTATCAAGACATGTAATGATACTTATTTTATATATATATATATATGAAATGATTTGATTTGAAGAAGATAACTGATATGATTTATGTAGAATACTTGTATGCGCATGTTGAATTGATGGAGTCTACCCCCTTATGGTACTGGCTGAAGACGCAATAACCCGTGCACGTAAATGAAAAAGAAAAAAGAAATGAAAAATGAGTACCTTCATTGATATTAAATTAGACGGTGGCTCTTGTAACGGTTGTATTATTTGTAAAAAAAATGAGAAAGATATGAATACAAATATGATATATATGAATGATATGATTTATGCATAATATTAAAAGTCTTGAAATAAAATAATATGATTATATGTAATTATTTTATGATATGAAATGAAAAAGTGATCATGCATATTATTTCAAATACCTTTGGTTATTGTAATTTGCATATACGTGAAAAGATTGGAGTAGCTCCAGTGGAAGATAAGATTAGAGAGAGTCACCTTAGATGGTTTGGTCACATTAAACCGAGGCCTTCCGATGACCTTGTTAGAAAAGTTGAGGTATTAGATTTGACTTATGTTAAGAAAGGTAGAGGTAGACCTAAAAAGACTTGGTTAGAAAATATTAGAAATGATATTTCTTTATTAGATTTAAATGAGAAATTGACTTTTAACCTGACAAAATGGAGAAAAAGGATTCATGTAGCCGACCCCACGTGGTGGGACAAATGCTTGATGTTGTTGTTGTTGCTGCTAGTGGTCCATAAAGATTCAGCTTTTTTTTTGGTTAGCCATTCGCTCTCTCGGTGGTCTGAATGAGTATGTCTTTTGAATATTTTTTTATATAATATTTTACAATGTATTTCATTATATAGTTTAATTTATTACAGAATAAAATTTGATTGGACCTATTATTATTAGAGTATTTTTTTTCAAAATCATGTCTTTTATATTAATTGTAACTCATCATTTATCAAAAAGAAAAAAAACTAACTTGAATCAATTTGATTTTGTGCCTCAATTAAATTTCTAATTTTTTAAATTAAAGATTAATATAAACTTAATTTTTTTTAATTAAATAATTAATCCTTTGAGCCTTTGCACTCTGATACACTAGAGGGGCCCATAGCTAGGTTGGGGGAGCTATTATTTATTTTGTAAGGAATTAAAGGGGAGCTATTTAGGAAGGTTCCTAATGAAGAGGGAGCTTTTTAAGAAGGTTTCTAATTAAGGGGGAATTGTTTAGGAATGTTTCTAACAAAGGGGGAGTTGTTTAGGAATGTTTACTAATCGTTTTTATGTTATTTAGGAAGTGTTTAATTATTTGGAAAGGTTTCTTAAAATTTGTTTAGTTGTTTAGGAAGGTTTCCTAAATCATGCCTAATTGGTTAGGAAAGTTTTCTAAATTATGTTTATTTTGGTTTGAAATGTTCTATTTATTTAAAAAACTTTACTAAATTATGTTTATGCTGATTATGATTGTTCTAATTATGTTATTGTGTTATATAACTATTTAAGTGTTTGTCTATGGTTTAGGGAGGAGATTGCTGAGTTTATTTTTTTAGTGTTTGTTGTTGGTGCGGGCAAAAAATATAGTGGTGCCTATACCCTTCGCCCACAAGAAGCAAAAAACAAATAAGCTACCGACGAAAAGGACTAAAAACGAGAAAGGAAGAACAAACTCTTACATTTCAAATAAAATGTAAAAACTAGAAATCAAAAGACTTACAACAACGACTCTTGCAAAATTTAACCGACTTACAAACTTGACTCAATCACTTGACGACCCTAAAGTTGCTTCACTTAGAGAAGAAGGATACAGGTGGAGTGACACTTGCGGAGAGACGAAAGAGGTTTGAAGCCAAGAAGAAGGGTGGAAAGAGCCCGCAGGATTTCCGGAGGGGATGAGAAAGAAGGGTGGAAAGAGCTCGCAGGATTTCCGAAGCAAACCCGCAGGTTATAGCTTTTCCAAAAATAACATATCATTCAACTTTTTTTAAGCATTACAAATCCTCCCATATTTATAGGTATGAAAGAGAAATACCAAGAGACACCTAATAAATTCCCATAGGAATTCTAAACATCACATAGCATTTAAATTACCTAAAAAACATCCCAAGCCAAGGAACCGAAGAGGCATCCACGGGAACCTAGGAGACCGCCCGGAACCAAGGGGTATGATCACGGGAAAGAGCCCAGGCATGGGAAAACCAGCAGCCGACCGGAATCCAAGGGGGCAAATGCACAAAATACTAAAGGTCATGGAGGAAGCCAAGGAGCCACCTCATGGGAAAAGTAAATCTTGGAATTCCAAAGGCCAGTTTGGAATTCCAAACATAAAAAGCATAAAAAGAACATTTAATATAAGATAATTATGAGCTAAAATCATAGCTAATAATGAGCTAACCCTTAGTTCAATAAGTGAACTAAAGACCAGCTCATAAATCAGTTGTGAGTTCCTAGCTTTCACAAGCCAGCCCAATAAGCTCGCAAAGGCGAGGTGGGAACAAACAGTCGTACGATAAACAATATAAACTAACTTTCATTCCAACATAAATTTGTACAACGTTCTTTCAAATATGACATAAAAGAGTCACTAAACCCCCCCCCCCCCCCCCCCCCCCCCCCACACACACACAGATATATATATTGTCCTCTTCTACAAGTTTTCAATAACATTAAACACTAAATAAGTCAATATAACAATTCCCAAAGTGCATAAACATACAATCTATGCCTTCCACGCATGACACAAACTAAAAGAAAAACCTGTCACTCTATTTCCGTCCAGTCTTATGACGATAAGTAAAC